GATGTCTAGCTCAGGCTGTTAAATGGTTACTCATTTTCATGAGTTACTGCAGGTTGCTTATGGTCAAGGATAACTAGATAGAGAGTTGATTACTGTATGACGTGTTTAATCATAATCATAATATCTTCTTATGCCTAATGTCAGGACATGTCACTGAATGTCCTGTCAGAATGTTTTTAGATACACACCACTTAATCAACACACACACACACACATTGATTTTCTTCATGTTTTGACTATTGCTATGGCCAGCTGCACGGCTGGCACCAGAGACATCATGGTTTCACGTCCCTGTGTAGAATGGGGTTAGCCCAAAACAGATATAATGTACAGGCCTGTTGGGTTCGGGGTCTTTCATCTTCCAGCTGCCTGCGTGCATGTTGGGGGTGCAAGATACCTGAGCGTGTAATGTTAACTTTTACCTGTGTTCATTGAATGAATCAGCACTGTATTGAAGTTACTTGGACTGCCTCGTCTCTCAGAATTAGCGTGGTACAAGAACTGGAAAGACTTCAAAGCCTCTGAAACTCACAGTTCTATCAGTAAAGATTACCCATCTGCAGTGATGGAAACTAAAAACATTTGTTAACTACTGTACTCGCGGCTACCACTATTGCTACTTGTATTGCTATTGTATTTAGTATTGTCATGTGATTCTATACAGTACTTATACTCCTTTCCATTTTGTTGTTTTTATTCCTCTACATTTCTTTGACAGCCATAGTATAATTTCTTTACAAACTAATGCTCCCCTCACACATGCATCTATTCACATAAATATGACAGCAACATCAGTTTGTCAAGTGTGAATGAGCTCCTGAGTCACATTTCTTAAAGTCATAACAACAGCTATATTATGTTGGACCTACAAACAGAACTTAGCATTTTCAACATGACACAAGTTGGAATTGGAATTAAAGTAAAGGTAAAAAAAATGCAAGGACAGAATGTTCATCTTGTTGGCTTGAGTCACTCTGGGTAAATTCTTTATGCAAGTATTATCTTCCATGTCCAAAAAAATAAACCGCTTGACAAACTACCATCTACAGTGAACTATGAAACACTTGGAATGAGCCAATCTTTGTTGAAATTGCTTACTTGACCTGATACTTACTGAAAGATGATACTATAACAGCATCTTTACTAAGAGTGCTTCACTGCTTCAAAAGAGGCAGCAGTGCTTATTCAGCCCTGAAAATGGTCTGCAGAGTTTTCCCCAGGCTGCATTTGGTCCCAGAAACCTCCATCAATCACAGTAGAGGTGGGCAAACCCATTTGCCCAGCAAAACCAGACCATGAAGCCCATTATGCAGCTCATAAAACTCTTGATGTGAGCTTATAGAAATAACTGAAGGTGAGACAAATGAACCTGACCAACAGTCAAAACCCCAAAAATATTAATCTTATAAGTGATAATTTCACACATCTTAAGTTTTGATACTTAAGTAGTTTTTTCTTATAATACTTATGAAAATGTTTTAAATGCAGGACTATAACTGGTAATGAATATGGTTACATTGTGATGTTGCTACTTTTACTAAGTACAGTATGTGAATACTTTTCCCACCACTGCATGTAAAACACTTGACCCTTATCAGACTGACCAGAACTGCAGTGAAAGAGTTTTGAGAAAATAAAAACCGGTAAGTGGTGCCATGCATGGTTATTGAATCAATCACTCCATCTAGTGACAGTCATAGTCAAAAGAAATACACAAGTCAGTGGACAATACCTCTGCCATCAAAACATGGGTGTATTTTCACCTTGGCATCATACCTAATAATCAAATCAAGGATTGTTAAGGACGAGTGAAGAGGACGAGACGTGAAAGAAAACAAGCACACACAGTGCAGCTGTTAAAGAGAGTGCTTTGCCACTGCACTTCATCTGTATCCCTCTAATTACACCACTAGGAATAGATTCACTGAAGCGCCGCATAGTGCCAACCACCCCACCAAGAACTAGTGACCACCAGCCCGCTCTTTGTAGAGTCTCCAACACACACAAGCCACTGGGGTTTCTTACATAACTCTACCCAGCCAAAACTTCTGGGCTTTCCAGATTCTGTTTGAGTCATATCATTGTTTCCTTCTAAGTCTATATTTCTTGTTTTGCCATGTTGAGCTTGACCACTGTGAAGGGAGCCTCATAGAGCAAGGAAGATAGTTCAGTAAAAGACACTGCCTCATTTGGAAAATGTCACAGCACCTACGAGAACACTGAAACTAACTTTTAGATGTACTGTGTGGTGCTGTTGAGAGTACAGAGTATAAAGCAAACAGAAAACGAATTGCTGACTGTTATAGGAAAAAGATAAGGGTCACTTGTGACACTATTTTGTGTTGAAATGAAGCTAGCCACCTGATAAATACACCTGACATCTGTTCAGGGCCAGGAGGTAAAATTACAGCAAGCAGTCTTCATACAGGCACCTGACTAGTCTTCTAAGTCAAAAAAGCTAATGTCTGTGAGCTACAGCAATAAAATAACCATTTGTGGCTATCTTTATTTCTTTACTAAACTGAAAGGTCACTAGTTAGAAGAGATTAAAACATGTCTCTTTGGTTTAGACAAGGAAAACTTTTCTGACCACATGTTCAGTTACGTGAAGAACTTCTAAGTAGATTTTGTGCTATTAGTCAACTGAGCTTGGTTGTGTTTTGTATGTGACTTCTAATAAGGCGAAGGTGGGTGAAGATGAGATCTAGACAACAATGTCTTGTTTGTCATTGTCTGCATTATCATCTAGTTCCTGGTCAGACAGAGCTGCTGAGGATTCTTGGGGCTTGGAGGTCATGGGGTGAGAGCCATCTCTCAACAGCTCCTTTATTAACAGCACAGGCACACAACACACAGCATAAAATATATGAACAGACACTTACACATATACACACACCTCAGGAGTAACAGGGACATACACAAGCAAAGATATCCCTGTGTTCACACTAACAAAGGATTTATTGTCCTTTTCTTTTGGGGCAGAACTCAGCAGTGCCGAGAAAATGGAAAAGGAGTATGCATGAGTACGTCACAGTAAAATACGCACACTAATATATATTGTACATTCAGAGAACATCTGCACAGTGTTTAAAAAAGTTAAAATTTGAACATTTTTCATTTGTCTCAATGACAGGGTTGTCAATCAAGTGACCTCTATTTAACAGAACCTTAGGTGGAAATAGGTGAAAGAAGAAAGCAAACAAATCCCGCAGTCCCTATCTTTTCTCTGAAGGTATTTCATATATGAGGTATGCATGAGACTCCCACAAATACAGCAAAAACTAGTATGTGTAGGAACTAAGACAGATGTAGCACAAACATGATGAGGGTCAATGCATTCAAATATTAACACCCCTTTTACAAGTTAGTGTCATCCAGTGTATAGTAACCTGCACAGATGAGCGATCTTGGTCATAACTTGTAGCACAGGTTACTTAATATAAAACTGGTGGATGTAGCTAACTGACTAACAGTGACCAGCCTCAACTTGTCATCATTAGAATGACCAGAAAGATCACTCTGAAATCAAAATAACTTTTACTTGTTTTACATAGTAAAAGGAACATGTTATGGCCCGTCTGTGTTTCAGTAAAAATATAAGTTACACAATGACGCCCATGTGGTGAAGATACTGTTTAAATAATAGTTGTCTGCTCCTCCTCCTACATATTAAATATATGTATTAATGGGTGCAAAATTTCTTTAATCTTATTTAAGTTACCCTTAACATTAAAACAAATGGTAAAAATTCTACTTTCACTAGGAGGCTACAGCCAGGGATTAAAATTATTCATTACTCTAATTGGTTTATGCACAGCGGGGGTGCCCCTGGGTAGAGCGCAAAGGAGCGGGACATGATGCGGTCATGTAGCCAGTTTCTAATTTGCTCATAAACAACAGAGTCTCTTGTCTTGTCTTGTCTTATGATTCCCGGCACTAGCTCTTAACGACAGAAGTTCCTGAATCACGCTGTGTCTCTGATTAGGTATTTTTGCTGGTGTCTTCACCATCAGGTGTTTGTATTCTTCTGGGTTTGTGCTGGTCACATGATAGAACATCATCAACACACCTGATAGCTCCATGTGAATACTCCAGACTATATACTAACGTATTCTCACATGAGCTCATTCGATCTCACTCAGACCTTATATGGACTTTGTACTGAGGAACTGGCAGGGTAAAACCCAGTTAAGGTACAGGTCAACTGACTTGGACATTAGCATTTGACTTACAGCTCCCCCGGTAATGTCTAGAGAATTTCAGGGTTACAGTGCATTTCTTACATGTGCTGCAGCCTGACTTTGACTTACATTCCCATTAAATCACATACTGGGGGACTGCTTGGGGTGAAGCTTTGCACACGGTGTTTCATTCTAAGCAGACTGATTGTTATACTTGTAACACCTGAGGTGAATGTAACCCTAAAAACTAGCCTGACTGAAACAAGACTCATCTGGAGGAATATATTTCCATTGTTTCTTCAGTCAGAATATTTCCCAAAAATAAGTGTTTATGTAACTTAAGTCCTAGTCTTGTTTAATCAAATACACATCAGACAGAATGACACATCAAACTGAGCGGAGAAGAAACAAAGGAAAGCAATGGCATGTTCAAAAAGATGCAAGCATCTTTGCACAGAACCTCAAAAAAAAATAATTTGTGTTTTTCAAAGGTTTGTTCAATTCATTCAAGCTATTTTGCATTACAAATACTGTAGCTATCCAATATATTTGACACAACATAAGAAAAAAACTCATCATCCTTAGTCAAAGCCTTCTAGAATAATTAGCCAACCAGAAATATTCAGATTTGTTATACTGGCTCGATTTGGGTGTAAATTAACACTATAGGCTTGTTTTGGTTTCTCATTTAATCAAAAGGAAATGCAGTTTTTCTGTTTTTCCAATTTTTATAGAGTATTCTAGCACCTTCCTCAAAAATAACTGTGTGTATGTCTGTATGTGTGATTTAGTGACTGTGTGTGCATGAGTGTGTCTTACCACTAGGGTTGAATTGCATGCAGGATATAGGCTTGTCATGGGCTGGGAAGTGAGCCACCACACCCTCTCCGTCCGAGTCTTCACTAACCAAGACCTGTTTTATATACACATGCACACACAAACATACACACAAAGAAAGTCCAAATCATTCTCTAACAATGTGAACATTAAACCCAGAAAGGGGCTTTCCCCTCCTCAAGGATTTCTCTTCACATTCTGGTTTGGTCTGATCACCCCATCAGTGAAATCGTTGGAGGTTAAACTCATTTTTGAATGTGCCATTGCCCTCTTGTGGACAGAAAATAATTAGCATAAAGCCTGACAGACAGGAAAGAAGCACAAAACAAGTACTTTCTTAAAAATCTGTCTCTTATGCTGCATCAAAGAAATTGTAAATTATGAAAAATATGAGCTACATCTTATTAGTCATGGTGATTTCAGTAAGAGGTTGTACTGAGACCAGTGTGGACATGGTATAGTCCAACAACAAAGAAGAAAATATGGACAAATTTAATTTGGCAATCAAGTGGCTTTTGTAATGTGGCTTCAATAATACCCCATGACAGGGGAATTCCCCGTGAACAAGCAGAAAATGGTGTCAAATCTAGCACTAGCTTGCTGCTTCTGTAACTTGTCTATGAAATTCATTTGTAATTGTAATTAAACTAGGGCAAATCTAACAAAGGTTGAGCTGAGACCAGGATCAACCTAAATATGAGGCAATTTTGTGTGTGTGTGTGTGTGTGTGGGTGGGTGGTTGGAAGAGTGAGCAAGAGAGAAAGAGAGAGAAAACATATACACAGGGTTACTTTTGGCCCCAGTGTTATATTAACGATGTCAGGAAGTCTGTGTGAGTATCTTAAGTAGGAACTAGTCCAAACAAGAAACAGCCTCTAAAATCCAAAGGGCTTCATCTTAGACTTACAAGCAAGTAAATAAGCAGGAAAAAAGAAAGAAAAACGGGGGAGAACAGAGAGAAAGAAAGAGTCTGGTGACATGAACCAGATCACTTTTATATGGTGCAGGCAGACAATGTTGTTTTGTGAGGGAATCCTGCTGGAGCTCTTTGAAACAAGAGTGTCCTGCAGAGAACTGAGCCCATTACACAGGGGAGTGCATGTTATCAAGGTACTGTTCCAAATAAGGAATTGCAAAGCCCAAAAAAAGGGGAATATCCTGGACTGCAATACTGACACTGGGACTCACCTCTCTCATATTCCTGCCTATTTCAATTTCTCCAAAAGTCACATCACAACCTCCATCTTAACTCATTCTCCACTGCTTCTCCCCTCCACCCTCCCACTTCTCACTTCATCCTCCATTTCTTATCCACTCTGAGCTTTCCGCTCTCTGGCTGCCTGCCCTAGTCAGTGTTTATGGCCAGTGTACAGTTACAGTGTGTTGGCTGGTGACAGAGTGCAGGCCTGCTTCTGAAGGCTTAGGTCCAGCTTATAAGACAACACACTGGCCACAGGGCAGCTACAGTCCATCACTGTGTAAGAGAGGGAGAAGGCAATTGAGTAGGTGTGTGGTGACTACAAACTGCAAACTGTACTATGTATGCCAACACACCTCATTAAAAACATGACAGCTTCTGCAAGTGTGATTTATCATGGTTTATAGTGTCTGAGGAGAATTAAGGGAATAAAAGCTATATGCATTTCTTTAGACATAAAGGAAGATCCTGTTGAAAGAAACTGGTTGGCATGGTTCAAATCCTGACCAGCGTTAGACCCACACTATTTGTATGTACACTTACTAGATCCAGGTCTCTGTACAGTAGCCTACATCTATGTGGGTTTGTGAAAAATAATACAGTTAAGGCGAATACACCTACATTACCTTTGTACTGTAGACTAAAGATTTTAGAAAATATCAAGTGAAACCAGCATCTACTAATCTGAGACTGACTATATTTTAATGATTTGTAACAAATATGTAGAGAATATACGTTATTATCATTATCCTACTCTCTGCACTATCCCCTCCATGTTTTTATGTCATCACCACACCTTAAATTTTATTCTCTTAATTTTAATTTAGAGCATTCCATTTTGCAGGACATACACTTTATTGATTGTTGTATCTTCAAGTACTCACAATAATGTAAAATTAAGAATTTTAACCAGATTATGCCAGCAGGCCTATTGTTTTTCCGCTCTTGGAGAAAAAAAATGATGATGCATTGTTCCGGTGTGTTCCAGCAGCACTACACCTATGTGTTTTACATCTAAATGCAAAAGAATCTGTATTTTTCACTGATTATTTTGAATAAAGTGCCATGTTCCACCCCTGGCTTCCTACTAGAGACTGTTATTTTGAAAGGGATGTGCTGTTTTCACTGTCTCACTCACCCCAGCTTCACTATGCCAATCAGTGGCTGATTTGGAACACCAGTGGTTCGTGTACTTAACCAGTCTCCACTCTCTCCTCAATGCCAAATAATCTGTTGCTGCCAACTGTTACTGAACCTCTATTTCCTGACCTGTTACTTGCCTGCCTGTATCTCCACCTTCGTAGTCGCAGTCCAGTTGGCCATTCTGACTGTTACCTGTTGCTGATGCCAGACCAGTTTTCTGCCTGCCGTCTCTCTGTCTGCCCGGTTCCTGCCTGCCATTTGCCTGTTTATTCTCCCAGAACATGCTCCACCCTGCCTGCTGTCAATTCTGTTCCTCTAGCCTGACTTCTGTTACCTGTTGTTCATGCCAGACCTGTTATCCACCTTGCTGACTCCTCTGCACCTTGAGGAGTGTTTTCTGTCGCCCTGGCCACTAGTCTAGTCGCAGTCCTGTCCAGCCATTCTGACTCTGTTACATGTTGCTGAGGCCAGACCTGTTTTCTGCGTGTCTGCTCTCCGCCTGCCTCGCCCTGATCTGTGTTGTAAGTCATCTGGTTTTGAGTTTTGATCCACTTTTTGGCTTTTGGATATCTGTCTGCCCTCAGGCTACCCAAGCAGAGACTGTTTCCTGAACTCAGCTGATTTAGCCTAGCCTCACAGAATAAATGGTTTGGACAAAATACTTTACACTATATATACGAATTACTTGTGAGGGAACCCAATGCAAATCCACAGCAATTTTCAGAGCCTAAAACCTTTTTGCAGGACTGTACAAGGCAATGAAATGCAGTTTAGCATCTAACCAGAAGTGCAATAACAGCAGTGAAAAGTGCACAGTATCTATAGTATCAGTAACAGTCAGAACTAATTTACCGACGGATATGTACAATTGATATTTACAGTAAGATATGTATGGTAATGTACAATATACAACAGACTATGGACTCGAATTACAGTAATGGACAAGGTACTGTACATTAAGCTTATAGAACATTAATGCAATGGGATGACATGGGATGAAACAGTGCAGAATAAGACTACGTTCACACTGCAAGTCTTAATGCTCAGATCGGATTTTTTTTGATGAAATCCGATTTTTTTGCGCTGTTGTTCACACTGTCATTTAAATGCGACTGCCATCTGTCTCATGTGTGAACGGTATACAGCCCTGAGGTGACCCGCATGCGCAGAAGAGGACGTGACGTCAGACGCAGCGTACTGTGTTTGCGAAAATAAAAATGGATGCGGCTCGTAATAGCATGTGCATAGCGATGTACCAGTTAATGTGCAATGGCTGGAATAAATAAAAAATAATAAGAATATTAAGAAGAAGGAGAGCACAAATATTGCTTATGGCCTCACCTCCTCCAGCGCAGAATTGTGACATCTGTCGCATTTCAATGACATAAAAATCGCATTGCAAAATGCGACATGGCCGTTCAGACTGAAGTCGCATTGCAAAATATCGGATATGTATCCGATTTAGGACCACATATGAAAGTGGCCTGGGCCGGATTTGAAAAAAATCGGATTTGTGCTGTTCACACTGTCATAAGGTATTCGGATATGGGTCACATTTGGGCAAAAAGATCAGATTTGAGCCACTTCAGCCTGCAGTGTGAACGTGGCCTAAGAAGATAAGTTAGATGAGTGAACAGTTCAATGGATGTAAATAGTGCAAAGATAAAGATAAATATACAGTATCAGCATATAGACAGCGTGCAAATGAATAACAGAGAAGTATTCTGTGAGTATGTGCAAATTAACAGATCACTTCAGTGTTACAGGTAACAGAAGTGTATTGCATGAGTCCCAGGAGGAGAGATGAGAAGGGGTGAGGTGTGTGTAGTGGTACAGAGGCTCCTGAAGCACCTCCCAGAGAGTAGGAGGTCAAACAGTTTGTGAGCAGGGTGAGAGGGGTCCTTGAGAATCCTGCGAACATGTCGGCGACAGCATTCCCTGTGGACACCCTCAATGGCTGGAATTGGAGTCCTTGTGATGCATTGGGCGGTTTTCACCACCCGCTGCAGCGCCTTGTGGTCAGAGCAGTTTCCATACCAGACTGTGATACAGCTGGCCAGGATGCTCTCACAGCAGTAGAAGTTCACCAGGATGGCTGAAGACAGGTGATTCTTCTTCAGTGTCCTCAGGAAATAGAGGCTCTAGTGAGCCTCCCCACTGTCGCCAAGTGCTTGCTCAAGGGGGATTTGTTGGGTTTTCCCTATGTAATAATAGTGATAATAGTAAAGTCTAGACCTTACTTTGTAAAGTGTCTTGAGATGACTTTTGTTGTAATTTGGCACTATACAAATAAAATTTGATTTGTTTTGATTCTTAACCAGGCTGCGGTTGTTGGTGGTCCAGGACAGATCCTCTGAGTTGTGGGTCCCCAGGAATTTGAAGTTGGAGACACGTTCAACAACCATCCCATTAATATGGATGGGGTTGTGTGTGCCTCCTTTCTCCCTCCTGTAGTCCACAATGAGCTCCTTGGTCTTGTCGGTTTTAAGTAAGGTTATTGTCAGCACACCACACAGCCAGGTGTTGTACCTCCTCCCTGTAGGCTGACTCATCATTTTCACCGATGAGGCCGATCACCGTGGTGTCACCAGCAAACTTGATGATGGTGTTGGAGCCATGCACAGGCCTGCAGTCATGGGTGAAAAGGGAGTAGAGGCATGGGCTCAGTACAGTCCTGTGGTATGCCGGTGTTGAGGATAATGGTGGAGGAGCAGGTGTTGTCTGGCCTAACACGCTGAGGCCTGCTGGTCAGAAAGTCCAGAATCCAGTTGCAGAGAGAGGTGCTGAAGCCCAGGTCGCCAAGTTTGGTGGTTAACTTGAAGGGGATGACCGTGTTAAATACTGAGCTGAAGTCCACAAACAGCATTCTTGCATAAGTGTTGTTGTTGTCCAGCTGTCTGAGTACAGAGTGCAGTACTATGGAGACTGCTTCCTTCGGTAGGCAAATTGGTGGAGGTCCAGTGTGGGTGGGAGACAGGTCAGGTGTGCCAGGACCAGGTGCTATAAGCACTTCATGACGGTGGGTGTGAGTGCTATAGGGCGGTAGTCATTCAGGCACGCTGGGGTGGAATGTTTCGGCACTGGCACAATGGAGGTGGTTTTGAAGCATGTTGGCACAACTCCTTGGGCGGGGGACAGGTTAAAAATGTACATAAAGATGCCAGCAAGCTGCCCTGCACATGCCCTGAGCATGCGCTGAGGAATGCCATCAGGGCCAGCAGCCTTGTGTACGTTGATCCAGCTCAGAGCAGCATACATATCAGTGGAGGTGAGTGTGAGTGGCAGGTGGTCTGCGGAGGGTCTGGGTAAAGAGAGCTGATGCGGTGTTAGCTTTAGCTTAGCTCCAACTCCTCCGTGCTTTCCACACTTTTATTTACGATCCCGACACCGCTTGTGAGCGCTTTCACCTGGCCAGGTTGGGTGCATAGGCTCCGGTGTTCTGGAGATTTCAGGGGTGAGTCAAAGATTGGAGATAAAGCTGTTGGAGTGGTGTAGACTGATATCCAAAAGTTCTTGCCGGGTGTAGGATATCAAGGTAAAGCTGTTCTGCACAAACAGACACAAAATGAGCAGGAGAAGCACTGCAAAATTGTGAACTCTGGGGAGACGCTGCGCCTCGCGTTGTCCACACGCCACCATCTTGGTCTTATACGTGTATAGCACTTTTCTATGCTTTACAGCGCACACAAAGCACTTTCACACTACTACAACTACCATTCGCACTCCCAAACATTCACACATCGGTGTCATCACCGGGAGCAACTGGGGGTTCAGTGTCTTGCTCAAGGACACTTCGACATGTTGACTGGACAAGCTAGGAATCAAATCGCTAATCCTCCAGTTAAGGGACGACCCACTCTACCTCCTGAGCCACAGCCACGTGTATCTCTAAATGCACTATACAATATATATGTTTGTTTTTTTTTCGTGTACGTCATAGCTGGTGCATTTTAGCGTGCATGCATCAATCCATTTACTGGTGCATGAAACAAAAGAAAGGAATGCACTATATGTGATAGGGACTAAGTTAGGTTTTTGAATCATGTGTATCATGCTTTTTTAAGCCACATTCAAAATGTTTGTTAGAAACTACACCTATCAGATCAGACAACCTTTTCCATTCTTACAACAGTACAGTGCAGATGTCTCTACTAATGACTGCCTACTGGAATGTATTGTGTCTGAAATTGGTCAATCAAAATTGTATTGCAAAAATCTCTGTGAGAGTGTGGACTTGCAATGCCCTCAGCCTCCTAGGGATTCCCATGTTCATCAGCCAAGTGCCTACATTCTGGCAGAAGAACATGCTGAGGTCCCATTTCTCAGTCACCTTTGGGACTAACTTTGAAACTTGAAAGTATGACCCTGGAAAACCCTCAAAACTATTACCTATTTTACAATGAACAGTAGGGATGTAACAATACAAAAATTAATGGATTGATATTGCCTTGATATACAGTATTTTTCACAATATTAAAAATTTAAAAAAAGATGAAAAAAGGCCCTTTACTAAATAATTAATCAGCATTTTTGAGTGATTTTCCTTTTAATTTAAAGTGCTCCTGCTTTTCTTTATTAAAATAAAAGCAGCCAGCCATGACCTAAAACCTTGGCATGAATTGTCACTGGCACTGAATGACTGAATGATTGCTTAACAAACAAACAGCAGTTAACAGTAGTCCTTTTATGAAATAAAATATTAATGCAACAGCTGGATCTTGTAAATAAAACAAGTCACACTCACAGCTGGATCTTGTAAATAAAACAAGTCACACTCACAGTGGAACATCAGTGTTTTAGTTCCCCCTAGGCAGGTGTAACTTTCTCTGTTTGACCGGTGGTTGGGTTTTTAGTACTGGACCCATTGAAGCAGCAAAAATGAATACATAGTCAAGTTTGCATACATATTCTGCATGTCATTTAAATGTGTATACACTACACTGATGTACTGTTTATAATAGTGTTGTCATGATACTAGAATTTTTAAGTTTGACATAATACCTTGAAAAAAATAGAGGTAATTGATATAATTTTTGATACCACTGGGAAAAAATTACAGCTAAATAAAGGTATAAAATGTTACATTTTATTTAAAAGATAAGTATAATGACAATGAAGTATGACTTTTCTTGGCTAGTAGCACAAAACAGCAGAATAACTGTAAAAGCTAACATACATTAGGCTACCACAAGCGACAAGGCAGAGATCACTGTGAGTGAGTGAGTGAGTGAGTGAGTGACAGTAGGCAGAGCTTTGGCACTTCAGTGGTGTGTGTGTGTGTGTGTGTGTATTTGTGTGTGCATAAACTCATTGTCTGAGAGAAGAGCAAGAAAGTGCAGCTGGTATCGGTGTTTCGATACTACAGAATGAGTATTGAAACTTTTTCAAATATTCAGAATCGATATGTATCAAAAAATCTATATTTTTGACACAACAGTGTACAACATTGATATTAAACAAAATGCCATATGACTGACAAGATTTTCACTGTTGCCTTGATGTAAAATAACAGGACTTTTTAATGTAGTGAGATGCCTTGATGCAGTCTAATGTCCATAAAGGGTGAACAATCGGTGACAGTTTTAAAAATAGAATCACAGTGTACAAATCTAGTATTATTAAATCATTAACAATACAAAGCAAAAGCAGAAACACTCAACTGACCTGTCCTTCAGCAACACTGTGAATGTCAATGATGGTGATGACACCTGGATTATGGGGGCAACGGCGGCTGGCGCTATGAGGTGTGCCATCCTCATCTGGAGTGCCTGCTGGTAGGGTGCCTGCCAACTGGGTGACAACTTTACCCACCATTGTCAGGCCTGTCTTTAAAGTCTGAAAAAACAAAGAAAAAATATTATAATTAAGCTTAAAAATTAAACACCTAGAGTACTATATTCTACATATATATCATACTAGTGATCTACTTATTTAGCTGGTTTCTTAATTTGAAACACTTATGGTAATAAAGATGACCAGAAGAGCTGTGTGTGTACTACTGTATGTTCACTTGATGCCTGCTGATAAGACAGTGCTGATGACTTGCCACAGGAGACACCCATGTGTGTGCATGTGTGTGAGGCTCCTCTGTGTCCGCTTAAGGTCTAGCCAGGGTGTCTGGCTCAAACACACCTCTGTGGCTCGATTGAGGGAAATGGATAGTGCTGCTTAAGTGGAGTCTATCTCACCTACTACACTGTCTTTGCCTAATGGAGTGCAATGCGTGTGACTGTGTGTGTGTAAGCACCAAAAGGGCCCCAGAGAGTCTAATCAGGCATTCAGACTAGGCGGCCCTGTCAATACAGCATGGCGCCTCACGTTTGTTAGGTCTGAGGATCACCCGCTGTCTCACTTTGCCACTTGGCCAGGCACACTAACAGTGTCTGCTGCGTGTGTGCTCCTGTATGCCTCTGTGTATGTGTGTGTGTAAAATGCCAGAAGGACCATCAATTATTAAGTGAGGCGTTTGGCTCCTAATTGATCAACACTAATGTGTTTTCTAATCACTGCAGTTGTGGAGTTCTTAGTGATAGTCCAAACAGGGGCTATTGATCAGCCAGTGGGGAGTGGGGGTGTGGGGGTGGGGTCTGCAGCCAAATCATGTCTGAAAAAAACATGAACATTCACATAAAATCAAAGCTACAGCCTGATGTCAACATCTGAACAAATTACAACCTAATTTATGAGAAAGATCTGCCTCATACACCCAGAAGTGAAAGGCAACAGTTTATGTAAATTTAAAATGAGCACACTGGAAAGAGGGAGTCCAGCTGGTAAGAGCTGTTATGCTCTCTCTTTTCTCTTTCTGATAAACAAAAGCCATTACACTTTAATGCTACCCCTCCTTTTTGTTTCTATGTCTCAGGACATCAGCACTAAAAGCCAGTATGTCGCGCCACAAGTCATAAGAAGATACCTTGTCATCTATATTGAGATATATGGTCCTAAATGAGGACAGGGCAGGCAAGTAGACTGCCTGTCTATATATCAATACCCCCTCCCTAATAGCCCCTAGCTAACCTGCTAATGACACAATGTCCTTTTTGATGTATACCATCATTAGCCTGCTAACGAGACTTCTCTCACTTTAGCTGTGAGCATTCATTAAATAAAGGCGAACGATTACACATGCTCTTTGCAATTCAATTAGCCTCTGAGACTGAATGGAGTAACAAACTAGACCACGGCAAAATCAGAGCAAGAATTAATTTCACCTGGCATCAAAGGAAGATGTTGGCTGTTATTCAGCTATCTTAGAGTTACACCCCTGTGAAGCTGAGTGAATCAGGACCATTTCAGAGAAACAGATTACAGTGCAAAAATACAAATAGGCAGTTTTTTAATAAAGTGTCTCATAAGCCCAGCCCCAGTCATTCAGGTGGGTCAGGAGTATCCAATATCAGCACATTTACAAATGGTGTAGGCAGAGCCCAAAATAATATATGGGCCATGGGCTTTCCATCTGAGCAAAGGCTTAAGACACACCAGAGGAACTTTAGACAGATTATAGCCACAAACTAGTTGCAGTCTGTCCTTCTAGAGTAAGACATGATTGAGGATAATGTTCAATGAAGATAGTAAACCAGTTCAAAATACTATAGATTTTGTTAGGTGCATTCTGTAGAAACAAAGGTTTGTGGTATAAGGTATGTATGAAACCATACATTGTCTGTACCATTGCCCCTTAACCATAAAATAAAAAGAAACGTTTAAAGAAAATGTGAAATTTTGCCTCAGCTGCAGAAAAGCCAGTGATGCTTGAGATCACTCAATTAATGTGACAAAACTTGTGACAGAATACTAGTATTATAATAATAATATAATGAGCACTTTAACTCTGATATGTAATGTAATGTAAGAAGGCCATATAAAATATAAAGTAATAAATATAAAAAAATAATAATAACACAAACAAAAATCAGATAAATATGTCTATGAATTATCACTTACTTTGGCAGCACTGATCACTGTAGCAGTATACGACTGAGCATTGTCACCACAAGCTCCTCCACGAGACTGGTGACATCTTATCAACTGCAGAAACACAGAGCTATAGATAAATTCAAAGCATACAGTAGAGTATAACTGAAGAGGAAAATTGGTGAATTTAACTCAGACTTCAGACATTCAAAAGGGTCCCTTCTTCACTCTTTGGAAAAAATTGGTTTTGCTTTCATTAAAAAAACACTGCACAACCAAACAGCCAATCTGCACTTGTGTCATTTCAAATACAATAATATCTGAATGGCCCTGTGCTTGTATTACTCTTATTGTTCACCAAACTAGATTTTGTCATTTCTGGAAATCCTTAGGCAGTCACACAAACAGTGGTCCCATCTGTCAGTTACTTTAATGGGCCAGCACCAAAACACAGTTATGCATTAAATGTACGGCAGAGTGTGCAATAGAACATTCTGTTTTTTGTAAATACTTAACAATTCCATTAAAATGAAGAGACAAGTAAACTCCTGTGCATCTGTTCATTTTCAAAATGTTATCTCTAGTGGTCTCTTCTTGGAATGAGTTGTCTATCCAGACAGATTAAAGAGGCAAAAAAATTGATAAAAATGCTTTTTCATATTGTAAATATGTCCCTTTTCTGATAGTGCATTTCTACAATGTATAAGTATGTGTGTAGACTACAGTACCTTGTTCTCAGCATAGGCTAGCCAACGGCTTCCAAGAGCTATTGGATTGAAGTTTGGGCCAGTGCAGGGATAGCAGCCTGGAAACACACAAAGACAGTCACAGTAACAGGGGCAACAAGGATAATTATAACAAAAACTAGAAAAAGTAATTCCTGAAGAAATTACATGGGCGTGCTGATATGTTGCAGAAAAGACACTGACCACTCAGAAACTGCTGACTGTTTGGAAAGTTAGTGTATTTATAGATATAAAGACAAAGAAAAAGAGATTAAAGGAATACAAAAAAAGCAAGAAAGGAGAAAAGTTGAAAGAAAAAAGGAAGCAAAAGAAAGTATAGGTAAACATTTTATGACAAATGTGTCAGAGCAATGAGATCTACTATAAATTGGTTATAAAGGTTCAAAATATATAAAAAAAAATAAAGACAGTTAAAAAGAAAAATATGAAGAATCAAGGTCTTAGAAGGAAAAAAGACAAGAAAAAAATGGAAGATTTGAAAATTGAAGGGCAAAGAAAGAGGGATGGAGGAAAGGAGAAAAGAAAGTTAAAAGACTGAAACATAATAGGAAGAAAAAATGGAAGGAATGAAGGAAAGGAGAAGGAAAGGAGAAAAGGGGGAAGGAGGATAAAAAGGGAAAGAAAGGGAAAAAGTGGGCAGAACAGAAGGCAGGTAAGAGATAATAAAGGAAGCAAAAAACAAAGGAAGAAAGAAGGATATGAGGAATTAAGTAAAGGATGTAGAATGTATGGGAAAAGAAAGGAGGCAGGGAAGATGGAGAGGAATCAAGATAAGAAGAAAAAAGGAAAAAGGATGAAAGAAAGGAAGGAAAAAATGAAGTAAAGGAAGGGCGACTGAATTATGGCTGCTGCGTGCTTGTTGCAGAGGGTGGTGCAAACCCCCTGTGTGCAATTAAATCCCCCACAATCATGTCACTACATTTTTTTGAAACACCACACACTAGGGCTCGTGGCTTCTTGCTCATGATTGGCTCTGCAGTATGTAATCTCAGCAAGAACTCCAGCAAAGCCTCGCACTGCGAGTATGTACACACTGTGGTGATGTGTGTAGCATGTAGACCCTTTAAAAGGAAAGGACAGAAGGAAAAAAGGGAAAAAAGGAAGAGAATGAAGGAAGGAAGGAAATCATAGAGAATGAAAGGAAGAAAGGAAAGAATGGAAGATGAAAAAAAGGATAAAAAGAAAGGAGACAGAAAGAAGGAATGAAATAAGGAAAGACAGCTCCATCAATTTTCCCACTGATAAACATTCATACACATATGAGTAATTTACCTTATGATCAAACGCTTAGCAGTACAAAAAAGAATTTTTCCAGATGCTTTCATAAGCTTCCTCCTTGGCGAGTGTCTGTAACTATCTTAAACCATTAATGTGTTTGCGGGAAGTCTCTTGTTTGGAAGATAAATGGGAGTCTAATGAGGGTGACGTGTCTGAGTCTGTAAATGTACATGTGTACACTATGACCTAATGGAGACTGTGGTAGCCAATAAATTAAGGATGGCTCCTCTGCTGATTGACCAGCAAAATAATCTCTGAGGGGAAACATATAGACAGACATTTACACACAAACATAACCGGTGTAAATAAAAATAGAAACCGATAACCCTTAAATGCCAAATAAAACTCAGGTTCATAAACACATAAATGTCTTTGGCATTATAAGAAAATATGTTTCCATTCCAACTCAAAGAGATGTGAAGGTATACAAGAACAAGACAAATAAGAACACTGAGCAAATTTAGGTTAACATCAAGGTGGTGTACGAACTAGAGGGGCATCTATCACTTCTGCTGCATGCCTGAATCAGCCAAATGATATTGATAGTGATTGACATTGTCATAAGTATCATTCGGTGAAAGCAGACAGACAGCGACAGACTGCCTGTTTCCACTAGGCCTAAACATACAGGCAACAAAATCCAATAATGCCATACCCAGTGAGTTCAAGAACACAGGCCCTGTGTCGCACACACACACACACACACACACACACACACACATTGAGCAAATGTAAGTGCCTAGAGGTGTTGGGGGAAAAGCTTGCTGAAATTATTTAGTGCTCTGGGAGCAGATGAGGTGGAGGCAGACAGTAATGTAGTGAGCTGTGTTGCAGGGGGTTGAGGTAAGCCACAAGGGCTGTTGGTAATGCCACTGAAGCCTTTTGAGCCTCTCCAAGGCTGAGGGGTGCCCAGGCACTGAGATAGTGTTTGACATCCTGGAAGGAGAGCGAGAAGCTGAGCAGGGAGAGGAAACAGACATGATAGGTGGAATCAAATGAAAAGAAAGTAGAATTCAGGCTTCTGAAGGCCAAACCCTCAAAGACCTTTGTAAACAGGGCAATAGGTATTCATCATATTCTAATATTACATTTTAAATTTAGACTTTTCAAATGTTCTGTTTCCTTGAGACAGAAACAAAGCCTATCAAAAATAAAAAAATAGTGACTGTCTTTTCTGTACATTAGGATCTCACATATATCCTGTTTCCACTTCACCGAGTCAGCAACACTGTCTCACCAGGAAAGTCCTTATTATCAGCCAAGATGCATTTAACAGTGACACAAGCTCACACTGTCAATGAAAAATATGCAAATAACAGTACATTACGACAACAAATCTGTACAAGAAAATGTGATCAGCAGGTTTCATGCAAGTTCTGTAATTGTAATCATAATTATGGCCATAGAAGATCAAAAGATTGAAGATCAAACTGCTGTGCTTGCAAATTGATGATCACAGAACATGGTGCACTGCCAGCGTTGCCCCAGTATAAGTTTGCCTTTCCCATTATCTGCAGCAGCAGCAGGCCCAACCACATTTAACTGAAATGAAGCCTGTACAATGAATTCAAAAGTGAATCCCAGTTCCCGTAATTTCATCCATGTTTTCCTCACTTTTCCTTGTGTCTTAGTTATGCCCTCATAAGATGTGAGGAAGAGATGTAAGGATTAAATGCAAGGACAGAGGAACTGAGGAAACATGTTTAAAACGACATGAGAAGTCCTTTCCCCCTATTCTAGATCTGAAACATCTTATCACCAACTGATTTCTGATAAAGGGGTGTATCCTCACCCATGGCTCCTCCAGGCCGCCTCCTCATTCTTCAATTTTCGTTCCTCAGAACAGGAATAAGAACTTTGAATTTTCCCTTCATGATTGTGAACCAGAACAACTTCCAGGGCGAGAGAGGATCAACGAGCAAGGAATGATAAAATAATGAAACTGGGATTCACCTCAAGAGTGTGTTTTGTGTGCATTCAGCCAATCAAAACAGTGATACAATGCTGCTGTTGTGCCGTCATTCTTTGTAGTACAAAATTGCATAACCATATCATAAACTGCAGCACTGCTCTCATACAGTCTGTTATCACACTTCTCATTCTCAGTTTCACCCATATTATAACTTTGACATCATACCCTTTTCAGTGTTAAATGCACTAATGTGCAAATGGGCACCTAATGTGGCCATACTTTGTCTTCTAGCTCCAGATACTCAGGACAACGTCCTTATTTCAAAAGTGCTACTTTTTTTAAAAAAGTAGAATTAATGGGAGACTTACTGTATGTCCAGGACTTCTATTTGAAGCCTATGGTACAAAAAGTCTTATCACTTAGATAAACCTTGTAAGTATAAATTTATTAACTATAAATGTGCTTGAAGAGTGGTGTTTGTGTTTACTTAAAATTAAAAGATTGAACCATCAAAGTAGTGATAATCATTCCTTTGCTTCATTTTTATTAATACTATTACTTGTTACTTATATACAAATATATATATACTGTGTATATATATATATATATATATACACAATACTGTACTGCCAGCAGCCACAGACATCATTTTATTGTACCAAACAAACAACAGGACCAAACAATGATTATTGATTGCTGTTTGCTAATTGCTGTTAAAGCTAGATCGTGGAATCAAGCTGCACAGAAAAGGAAAGTCTGCTTCTGGTGGTGAGTGAGCTGCAGTTCATAAAAACATGACATCTCCACCATCATATCCATGGAGAAAAAGTGGATATGCAGCAGGAGAATGACTCATCTAAATCAGAGTGCTGCACACATCACAGGACCCTCTGTTTACTGCTTTTACAGCCCAAACAGGCCAAACAATGTTATGAAGAGGAGGCCCCTGCATTCAGAAACAATTAATAACTATTGAGCATGTTTGGTTTCCTGTGGCCCAGACACTGAAATTGGAAGGCAGGCAGACAAAGAGGAGACACATTAAAGCCAGCAAGTAAGGTCAGTTTACTCCAGTCAATGACTTAAGTGGACAGCAATGGTCTTATAATACAGTCTGGCCTTTCGTTCACAGCCTCCTTGAGGAGACATTGCAGCTACAGTCAGGAGATTGCAAGTGCTGTGTTGTAAACCATTTTCCTGTGTGGAGCTTTAAATGGAGGGCCTCACAACATTTTATTACAAAAACAGTTAGTCAAGCACTCAGGTAGTTACAATGCAAAGTGTGAGAGAGCTGCACTCCAGGAGGTCTTAGTGGCAGGTTGTATGAGTGTCCCCACTGGGGAATCGGCCAGGGTCAGATAAAAGGTGGGGTGGGATGTCTGACCTTGCCTTGTAACTGTTCTGATTGGATCACTCTGTTCAAATAACCAGAATAAGTAGTTATAACCTTACTTAGACCTGAGTGCCTCCCCTGAATACTATTTGACTCAAATTAATTATCATGTGGTTGTTTTGGAGGGTCTCAATACCTTAACGTCCAAGTAAAATTATAATTAATTAATGTTAGCCTTTAAGTAAAAAAGTAATATTTTTCAGCTTCCTGCAGTGTAGCTGTAGTGACAGGAAGAAACTATTTAAATTAACTTGTGCTGGTTACTGCAGCTTAAGGGACACACCTCATAATGTATTGATATCTTTAAGTAATTAGGTTTTAAACAGCATGGTCTTGGTAAATAGTGCTTTTCTATATGTCGAAGAGCACGCAAAACGCTTTACACTATTTCCCATTCATGCACACAACCACTAACATTCACACACTGGTGATATCACCAGGAGCAACTACAAGTTTAGTGTTATGCACAAGGGCACTTCACAAACTGGAGAAGCTGGGGATCAAACTGCTGCCCCTGCGGTTAGGTGATGACCCAGTCTACCTCCTGAATCTAAACTAGCGACGTGAGTGAGTGAGTGGGTGAGCAAGAGTGAGGGAGCCACACTGTGGCTGTTTTCAGGGCAGGGGTTTTGTAATAGTGGGGTTAGCAGTAAAGACTGACTGTACAGTAGCAGTGTACATATAGTCACAAGAAAAAGTAACGGATCTGTTTGCAATTTCCTGGTTTTCTGCACAAATATCAACAAACACAGTATTTCTAACCTGATAAAACACAGTCATGATCTTTCTTGTCTTTACTGAACACACCCATTAAACATACAAAGTGATGGTGGAAAAGGTAATGAAACAGTGCTTGAAGCACTTTTGGCCACAATAACCTAAAGCAAGCATTTCCTGTAGCTGTGGATTAGACCTGCACAACATTCAGGAGGAATTTTGTCCCATTCTTCCTGACAGAACTGCTTCAGCTCAGCCATAATTGTAGCACATCAAATGTGAACAGCTCTCTTAAGGTCATTCCACAACATCTCTATTGGGTTGAGGTTGACTATCCGTCGCCATCTGAATGACAAGGGACGCTACGGTAGGAGACCCAGGGGGACCCACTGCTGACATAGAAACATAAAAATGCCAGATTGGAGTTTGACATAACTTACCCAAGGAAGCCACAGTCCTTCTTGGAGAATGTCTTGTGGACAAGTGAGACTAAAATAGAGCTTTTTGGTCGAGCACATCATTCTACTGTTTCAGAAAACAAAACAAGGCCTTAAAAGAACACGGTCCCTACAGTCAAACACGGTGGAGGTTCACTGATGTTTTGGGGTTGCTTTGCTGCTTCAGGCACTGGATGTCTTGACTGTGTGTATGGCATTATGAAATCTGAAGACCACCAATGAATTCTGGGGCCCAGTGTAGGGCCCAGTGTCAGAAAGCTGGGTCTCCATCAGAGGTCATGGGTCTTACAGCAGGACAATGACCCAAAACAGACTTCAAAAAGCAGCAGAAATTGTTTCAGACAATGTGCTGGAGAGTTCTAAAGCTGCCAGTAATGAGTTCAGATCTAAATCCCATAGAGCAGCTGTGGAGGGATCTCAAAAGAGCAGCTGGGAGAAGGAATGCTTCAAATCTGAGACACCTGGATGGCAAAAGAAGAGTGTTCAAAAATTCCAGTAGAGAGGTGGAAGAAACTCACTGATGGTTACAGGAAGCGACTGATTTCAGTTATTTTGTCCAGAGGGTGTGCTACCAAATATCAGGTTGAGGGTGTCAGTTGTTAGGTATTTTTAGTCAGATAGATATTGGATAGATACTTTATGTATTAGAAATGTTTAGTGGAGATAGGATGTATAGTTAGACTGTTAAATGCTTAGGCCTGCTTATGAGTTTCTACAGGGTACATCTGGTCAAGGATACCTAGAGAGAAGAGTTGATGACTGTCAGCAGACAGGGTGTTTAATATTATTATTACGACGTGTATAACTGTAGCCTTAGCCATAATATGCTCTTATGTTTAAGTCACGACATGTACTAGAGGTCGTGTGAGAATGTTTTTAGCTACACACCACTTAACCAACAGACACACACATTCACACATTGATTTGCTTCATGTTTTGACTACTGTTATGGCCAGCTGCAGAGCTGGCAACAGAGACGTCTCGGTTGACGTTTCTGTGCAGTATTGGGCTAGCCCAACCGAGGTGATATAATGTTTTCTGTGTGGAATGTAACAGATTTAGCTTTATTCTCTATTTTTTTTGTTTTGTTCCAATGCAAACCAAAGAAATACGCACGAGAATACCAAAAAATTTGTGATTGCAACTATTTTCTGGGAGAAGTGGCGTGTTATCTGATAGAAATACAGGGGTGCCAATATTTTTGCCCATGACTGTATAGTAATCAAACAGTTACACACAGACAAGTTCATTCACAAGTCACCCGGTCAGTCCACTGCACCTGTCAAATCAATTTGTCACTGGTGAATTACATTAGTTTAATGCCCACCATCTCAATGTGTTGTAATCTCCACTAACTTGGTGACTTTTCTCCAGGAGTCTGGCTCTTAGTCACTCTGGTCTGGTGTCTGCTACAGCTGTGGTGATAATACTTTGCTATATGTCACTTTCTCCGGTTACTACACTGCTAAAGCTGGCGATGTGACCTTTTCCGGGTGCATTCATTTGTTCTCTGACAATGTTCACAGACTGTGCTGCCTGTAAATGTGTCATGTCCAACTGTCATGTAGAGGAAGTTGCTATGCAGTTGTGCTGTGTTTACAGTAGACACAAAGCAGGGCAATGAGCTGGATGAATTGCATTATTTTAGGGCCCACCAGTTGAATGCTGCCCACTTTTTTGGTGAATTTCTCTTCAAATTGTGACACTGTGTCACCGGTTTCATGTTCATGCAGAATTGACGCAAGCAGGGAGAGAGGGAGGGCTGGGTGGAGCGGAGGCGATTGATTTTATAATTTCATGCTAGCACTTTAAATAATTATCTTAAATACAACAGATATATTAGATACCAATAGTAGTACTACATTGTACATGTGGTATACATAAAAAGGTATATTTAAAGTATATTTATACATTTAACTAGAGGAAATTGTTTTAAATATTATATTTAGCTGAGTCCATGTTTGTGTTTGTACTTCTTGCAGTCATTCAATGGATGGTCCTGTTTATTATTATTTAGGACAGCCACACCTATTGCCCATCCCCAATTCTGCATGCAGCAGCCAATTATCTGCTTTGTGTTTGACTCACTTGTGTTGATGCCAGTGTATCAGAGTCACTGATCATGTTTAATAATGTTAATTTAAGCAACATTAGCTGTTAGTTTGCACCACTGCATATGTACAAAATATTGGGGGTTTGGCTAAACAGATCATAAATTAAGTATATTGTATGTTTTTATTGTAATAAACTAAAAACATTTCACGTGATGACAATCTACAGAAAATGTGTGCTATTTGTGATCTGAATAAAAATTGATCTTCTGCAGCTTAACTAAACTTTCTTCCTTGTCTTTCCAGGGACTAAGTACTGTAGCTGGTTACATAACATACAGTATATACTGTAACATGGGTAAAAAAAAACATTTAAAAATCATTCAAAATCATAGACACAACAGATGCTCTTTTAAAATGGTATACTGCAATATAAATGATTTTATTACTTCAGGCCACACAAACTTTGGTGTGCACATGGGATTTTTAATGGGATTAAAAATAGCTGACTTCATAAATCTTAAAAATTTTATGTTCCAAAAACTTACTTGTAACAAAGAACTTCTTGGTGAAGGTGCAGCTGTCAAATGCTGCAATCTTCTCTTGTAGACTTACAACAAGAATACTGCAAGAGGACAAATAGTCAGTTAACACAGTGAAAATACACATTCTCTGTATCATAAAATATGACTGATCAGTTGATCCTACATACTGTTTGTTGCAGTGAAGATCATAGATAGGTGTCTTGAACTGAATTGATTTCACCATTTCCCCTGTCCGTAGAGAATATAGGTCAGCGCAGCAGTAGGGAGGGCTTGTCCTGAAAACAGAAAAACAAATACTTAAGTCCTCAAGTAATTATTAACGAAAATTCAGAGGGCTTAGAGGGTTTCTGGTGTCATCTAAAAACCATTTGCACTCTTTGCCGATATTAGCGTTCCACTGCTTGTCCCTTGTCAATTTGCTATTTTCCAGATAGCACCTAAACACCCTGTTTAAAATTTAACAGGCATTCAGTCCCCAGTGCAGCTGTCTACACCATCAGCATAATAGATCGCATCTCTCCTACATGCAACTGTCTTTTGCCATTCACACATTTTTTCTTTTCCAATTACAACTCAGAATGAAAGTTATTGGCCTATGAATAATTCATTTCTACTATCTCTGCTGGTCAGGAAAAATGAAACAAAACTCAAATCAACACAAGATTAAGTTATGTTTTTACATAAGCATGCCCAGACCAGGCTGAATGTGATGATGCCTTAATTTTAGTTGCCCCCATCTTCACACTCATCTTCAACAGGTCACTGGAGCTGTGTGAAGTCCCCTCCAGCTTCAAATGCTCAACCATCATCCCAGTCCTCAAGAAAACCTCCATGAGTCAACTGAACGACTACAGACCTATTGCCCTGACATCTGTAGTTATGAAGTCCTAAGCACAGGTGCCCCCCAGGGATGTGTGCTCTCCCCTCTGCTGTTTTCACTCTACACCAACGACTGCATCTCAAATCACACAGCATTATCAAGTGTATGTAAAAAAGTTCTAGCAACAGCATGTAAACTTGTTGGGTTTTTGTTAAATGTGGGCCAAAATCATCACAATTAAAAGACCCAACAGCTTAAACTACTTCAGTCTGTGTGTACTGAATTGATATAATACACGAGTTTCACTATTTGAGTTGAATTACTGAAATAAATGAACTTTTCCACAATATTCTAATTTATTGAGAAGCACACGTATATCAAACACTGGTAGATTATGGCTGAAGCCACTGCTCTTATGTATCTGGAGGATGGTTAATTCCACAGTTTTATACTATAGTCAGATATTCGGGGCTACTTATACAAGCCAGACTACAGAAAGAGGGTGCCAAAGCTGAGAGGCAGTCACAGTTGGCCAGTGAGAATCTGGAAAAACAAACGCTACGTCTGTGGTAACTGTGCACTGATGGAAACAGAACTGGAATATGAACAGGGGTGTGGTGGAAACAATAAGTGAGCATCATGTAAGTGCAAAGTTAGGCTTGTCACCTTTGTTGTGTTTGTTTGTGATGTTACAGAAGTACCGGAGTGCACCTATATTGCATGTATGTAACACCAGTGATTAGCGCTGTTGCCTCACAGTGAGAAGGTTCCGGGTTCGAACCTGGGCCAGCCCATGGACCTTTCTCTGTAGAATTTGTGGTGTTTTCTCCAGGTACCCTGGCTTCCTCCCACAGTTCAAAGACATGCAGCTTAGGTTGACTGGCAATTCTAAATTGTCCATAGGAGTGAATGTGGTTATTTGTATATATGTCAGCCCTGTGGTAGACTGGTGACCTGTCCAGGGTGTACCCCACCTCTCGCCTGATGTCAGCTAGGATTAACTCCAGCCCTCCCGTGACCCAATTCAGGAGTAAGCAGTATAGATAATGAAGGGATAGATGGATGGATGATGTTGCCGCCCACACTGTACCAGTTTTCCATCTCTCCAAGTTTCATTTGCTACCACATCTACTTTGCAGGTGTGAAGACAATAGCTCTCATGGCTGTTAAGGCTTGCACCAGCAGTGTTGCTGCAACTAAGATGGGCTCTTCAATGTCTAAATAGACTGTCTAAGCAGTTTGGGAGAAAAACTGATTGGCCCATTGTGAAAATTCACAACAGACAATGGCCAATCAGCACCTGCAGAAATGAGGCTGAGAAAAGAGAGGGAGTGAAAGAAAGAGTGCCATACAGAGTTGAGTTGGAAAAAAGAAATTAGAAAAAAAGACTGCTCGTCTTCTCTTCTGAATAGGAAAATGAATTCATGTTTAATTGCATTGTTAAGTATTTTAAAGGCAGATTGTCAAAGGCATCAATGCTAGTTACCTACCACTTGGGTGTGCCTAGTTTTACTGTTACCATCTTAGCTGGTAAACAGCAGGGTGTTTTGCTGCCTTTTCATTTTAATTAGTTAACATTTAATAACAACACCATTATATTTTACCAGCAAAAGATAGTAGCTGAAATCACAGTTTTTTGTTTGTTTTCCTTTTGCAGCACTGCATCCCAATACAAGGCAGGTCAACACCATTGCGGACAAAAAGCTCTTCAAAACAAACAACAGCTGAGCTCTGCCCAAGCTGAGATCTGAGTGCAGCAACTTCCCTGCATAGGTATTTTGAACATACAACCCCAGTGAAAGACCTGCACAGGCCCAACTAATAGCAGCAGTGTGGGAGTTACCTTGGAAACGTCTAAGCACAATGCATTCTGTTTGTTCCAGAATTTTACACCAAGCCTTAACACAGATGTTTGGCACATACAAGATGACCCCAATCTGCTCAGAGTCAATCACTGGCGATCGGCACATAATGCATGCCAGTTAGTTTTCTGTCCGAATTAACCCTGACTTGCTCTGAACTAACACCCATGTGGGCAACAATATTCTGATGGGATCAAGGCGACTGCAGTTTTTGGAGCCAGGCGCTGCAGCTGCTCAACAGCAATTGCAAGAGCTCAGGACATGATGGGACTTTGGTGACCTTTATCAGTCTGAGAAGCTGAATACAGTCAGTACACAATACATTACATATACATAGTTCTCATATACTGCAGGCAGTCTGTGATAGTTCTGCTCTACACTATGAACTGATTGGTGACATAGCTTAATAATTAAGGGACACAAAAACCTTTGGTAAGCAGGATGGGACGAGTCTTAGATCTGTATAGAGGTGAAGCGGCGGCAGGCTAAATATCTGACAGATTAGATTAGAATAACAATGGCTATTAATGTATTTATATAGTTTCAGATCAAGCCTGGTCAGGTCAAATATAGCAGCAAACTGATATGATGAATGCTGTATATGAGAAATATTGGCCATATACATTTTCATGTACAATATTATGGAGATCAACATAAATAAGCATGTTATCATTCTCATCATATAGAAGAATGTCATTAAAATAACAGCTGTTTGGACCCTGAGTAGAAGCTGAAAAGTTTTATTTGATGACATTTTATTAAATCAGGATCAGATCTAACAGGATGTGAGTCCTTCTGTGACTTCCTGTACAGATTGAAGGCTGGTGGAATGCTCCTGAACTGTCCATCTTGACTGCTGTCACCACCTGCTCTTGTCTGCTTACCAGGCGAGTCACAGGTCATCTGAAAGGAGACCGTTTTCTGCCATTTTCTCTGGACATAGACAACCAATTTCAAAAGTAATTGCATCTTTCAATCACATAAATAAATTATTTCTACGAAATGACTTGCTTTCTATGACGTTTTCTCTGCAAGTGCTCCAATAATTGAAGCTTTTAATAGACCTGATGACAGTAACAAGGTTGTCCGTTCAGTTTTTTTATTCCCCTTGCTTTCACCCTTATTTCTTTCAACCTGGATTCAATAGCGTTAAATGAAGCCAATGTGGAAGCACCAAAGCCTGCAGTTCCTCAAACAGCCACTTGAGGCTGGCTCCAAAAGGGAGCCAGTCCCCACGGACTCCCATGTTAAAATGTCCAAATTTACAGCAGAAATAGACAAGTTTACACCAGGTCCCAAAAAACTATTTTGGTATCTATAGCTAATATCCCCTTCCATGACAACTGTACAGGGGTGAAAGTTTCTATATAACTTGCCCATATATAGATATATTGACAATAAAAGTTATGCATACTTAAGGGCAGGGCAGCTTTGAGTGACAGGTGGGAGGGTCCTGCCATAGGTGACTACCCGCTAGCTGTCTGGTGAGCTCCACTCATGCTCCACTTCTTCAGCCATTTTTTTAGATTAGACTTTGCAGGTGGAGTGAAGTGCTATCAATATGGCGACGGCTATACTGAGCTTCAAAACCACTGTTCAGAAAACCACTGGGTGATGTCATAGTGGGTTTGTCCACATTTTATATACAGTCAGTGGTTTTGACATGGTCTTTGTGTATTTGGGCAGTGTTTGCCATGTCTTACAAGTATGTCTTGGCAGTGTTTCTTTCAAGATGACAGCAAACACCAATCAGTGTTAGTGATGCTAGGGGAAACTGTGCTGCATGTATTGGCTAATGATGACTGGTTGAGAATTACAAGAAAGAGATTCTTGGTAAAGTTCTTAAGGAGACTGAAAGAGCAAAAGTGAGGTCAGGGGTTCACAATCTTTTCTGGCCTGTAACTTGTTTTTTCAGTCCCAAAAAGTGCCATAACTAACATATAAAACTACAAGTTTTGAGAAATTAATTTGAGCAAGGTATACTTCTGTACTATAAGCCATCCCTGGTAGGCTAGTGGTTGAGGTGCAGCGCTCTCGCCGCTGCGCCCTCGCCACTGCGCCCTGGGTTTGAGTCAGGGTCACGTCAGGAAAGGCATCCGGCGTAAAACATGTGCCAAATGTCAACATGCGAGTCATCAGTGTGACAACCCCTAAACGGGAAAAGGCGAAAGTGACTTTCTATACTTCTGTACTATAATTTAAAAAATGGGTGAGGGGTGGTGGGCCCAAAGGATTGCTGTTATAAACCTAATTCACTCAGGATTTTGTCAAAAAATTGATATTAAAATATAATTTATATCATTGAAAGAATCTGTCACTTTTGTTGTTAGGATCAGACATCTCCCATGACACTGTCTGTATTAGTATGAGGACTAGGCCCTATCAAAAAACTGAGAGTATCTGAGCATAGATGAGCAGCCTCATCAGCTATACTTTATAAAATGTCTAAGTTTTAATTATCAAAGATGGCACTGTTGCAGTGGTTGCATGTTGCAGTAGCTTCCCTCTGTCAGACAATGTATACTGTATATACGTTAAACATATATTCATTGTACACTCATTTTGTTAATTTCTTACCTGCACCTTATTGTAG